CACAAGGGAGAAGTTAAGTTCTTGGAAGAAGCTTGAGAAGATAAGGGAAGGAAGGGAGGGAGGGATGAGCCCCAGGTGAAAAAGGCTGAAGTTGGTTTAAGGCCCAAGTTGTTCCTGGAAACTTACCCAATACTCTTCATTTGATGATTTGTGAATTAATGTACCTTAAGGTAGCATGTACCCTCACCCTGAATTGTGTAACCCCTTGTGATGTACCCCATCTTATGATGATGAAGTAATGTGTATCTTGTGATCTATGAATCAATATGTGCCCTCACCTTGGGACCCCGCTCTAATTGCTGTGATTGGCTTCTGTATTGCGCTAGCTTGCTGACTCTGCAAAATAATGGTATAAAGGGGCACTTCACCTGCCAGTCAGGTGCTGAATGCCTCCGTGGTGTTCCAGCCCACCGGCAGGTGTAATAAATTTTATCAATTATTGCATCAAAGTGGGGTCCACCTTTTTATCTCCACGGCTCGGTCCCATTTTATCTGGAGGCCCCAGTGATATTTGTGGACCCCCGCCTAGGCCCACCTCTACCCTACAGCTGGCTCTAGGGGGAGGACTTGGGGAGTTTTCTCCCCACCCCAGAGTCCTTGGGCACGGATATATGGGCCTAGGTTCCTTAATTCTCCAAATTCGGTGCGTCTGTCTGTTTGTTCTTGTTTTTGGTGTGGTTTGTGTTTGTCTTTGTATGGTATGTTCAGAGGTTCAGAGGTTCAGAGGTCTGGGGAGGTTCCCCTTCAGAGGGCACAGAGGTTTGGGGAGATTCCCCATCAGAGGTACTAGGCTTCCTACTGCCTACTTTTAGGCATATGCTGGATGCAGCTAGGAGGCTAGTTTTGGGGGGCAAGGCACCCCCTGTCTAACAGAGGTCTGGGGTGATTCCCCATCAGAGGCTCAGAGGTTTGGGGAAATTCCCCATCAGAGGTCTATTTTCTGGCACCACCCTCCCAGTGTAATTTGTGTTTTTATTTGCTTGACTCCCCCTTATGTGCCTTGTCTCCACCCCCCCCCTTTATGTGCCTGTTTGCAAGGGTTAAACTTCTTTGCATTTCATATGAGTCAGTGAGTGTGTGAGTGAAAGAGTTTATGTGTGGCTACAGGGTCCAATTGGGCTTAAACCCGCAGTTCCACAGCTTTATCATATGGCTCAGTGGCAGGCCCCTCGGGGCAACCTGGCGTGGGGTTTATACTGCCCTGCCTAAGCTAAGATCGAGCTCTCACTCCTTCGAGGGCCTGGCCAGGAAGGCACCTGACTGAGTCTTTGGTGTGCTGATAAATGCGTGAAATTTGTCAATTCATTTTATATTTGAGTTATTCTTTTCTGTCTCTTTGGAATCAGAAACGGCACTTTGTTGTTTTGCCCTGAGATGTGTAGTAGAATGGGTCTGGGACCAGGTGTGCTGGGGAGAGCTCTTTTACACTTCGGTCGGAGAGGTCATTTGTGTTGCTCTTAACAACAGAGGAATAAAGGTGTCTTTTCAGTAACATCCTGATTTCAGCTGCTGTGCCAAAAGCGCCCCCTCCTACTGAATTTTCAGTATTTTAAAGTTCTCTCACTGTGTTTTTATGTTAATAAAACTATGTAATAGCTGTTAGTTAAAATTATGTTCAGTTTGCAAATTTTAACGTTTTGATAACTCACGGGTTAATTCTGGCAGTGGGTTTCATTTTCCTCTTTTTGGCAAGATTATTTTAGAATACTTTCAAGGAGATAAAATTTTTTCAAAGGTTGTGCTATTTGCCTGCTTAACCCTATGTTAGCTTTTTGTAAAAAGTGTTGGGTTTTGTACTTTTATTACTCTGGAGTTATTTTTTTGTACTGATTCACTGATCAGCGAATGGAAGGGCAGAAGACTGTCCGAGGGAAGGCGCCCCCCGGAAACATCCCAGGGTCCCTGGAGTGCCTCAAAGCCCCCAGGAGACCAGGTGATGATCATCCCATCAGAAATAGGTCACCTTAACATCTATTTTTAACTAGTATGATTCATGACATAATAAAATTGAAATTGTTCTCTAGGAAGAAAGGTTTGAGAGTAGGAAAAATTAGAAAGTAAGGGAAAGAAACTGAGTACATTGTATGCCAAGATAATCTTGTGCAGGAGACCTGTGCATGTAATGGGTGGCCAGAGCTGTTTTCACCATTAGCCCCTTTTAATACTGTGAAAATATAATTGCTGCTACCCCCCCATGTTTGCCCCACTAGGGGGTGATGTGCCCCACCACTACTCCTCCCTTTTTAATACTGTGAAAATATAATTGTTGCTATCTCCCCCATGTTTGCCCCACTAGGGGGTGATATGCCCTTAGAATATAAAGTTGTTTTAGCTAGGATAGTTCCCCCCACCATTTGCCTTTTTTGCCAAGAAAGTATTAGGCGTTGTTACTGCAGGCAAGGGAATTCGGGAGGGCAGTGCACCCGAGAAAGAGGTATGCATTCTTGGCACCTGCCTGGCTGTTGAACGACCAGGTGCCATCAACTCCAGTGGAATTCTTGGACAAGTTGCGCAGTTACACTCCACCCTTGGTGGTTCCAGAACTCTCACCTAGCCGATTTCCTGGGCCATTTGTTTTGTCACCCCACTCCTTCCCTTCCTTACAAGGGTTTGTCTCCAGATAACAGGCTCTCTCTATACTTAGGAGTATTTGCTTTACTTCAAGCCTATTACAGAGCCCCATACTTGAGCCCTGGTTGGAGTGTTCCCCTGCCACCCCACCTTCAATCCCAGCTTGACTATTGGAGGTGGCACCTGGAGCTCATAGACCAGGAGTATCCCCTGGGGCCACCACCATCAGGGCTCCCCTGAACCCAGTTTGAAAATTTAGGTTTACAAGTAGGAGCCTTGCCGGATTTAGCTGTTTTAGCTCTCCTGCAGCCCTTGGTAAACAAAGTCCGAACCTATCTAAAGCGTGCTGTGAGGGCAGTCATAGGAAAAGAACAGTTTGGCATCTAAACCCCCATTGATTGTTTCATAGATCATTTTAAATTAGTCTTCTCCCCTGATAAACAGAAAGAATTTAGAGGCAAGCTTTCCAGAGACCGTCTCCAAATGCTCTGCGAGTTAGAATGGACATCCTTCAAGGTTGGCTGGCCACCTGAGGGATCTTTTGACCCTGCCCTCTGCCAGGCCATGTGGGAGGTCGTAGCAGGACAAACGGGTCATACTGATCAAGTCCCATACATAGAAATATGGACAAAACTTTGTAAGTCACCTCCCACTTGGCTCCACAGATCCTCCCTAAGAAGTAGATGTAAATCCTGCTCTCCACAACTGCACCTCTACCCACCAAGCCCCTGGAAGCCCCACGAAATGGTGGGAGAGCCCCCTAGAAAATCCTCACTAACTCGGGGAGGGATCCCATACCAACCAGCAAGCCCAGTCCCTATTTCTGTCCCAGATCCCCCAGTGGTGGGAGCACTTTTGGGAATCCCTATTTTACCTTTATGCCCATTAACCCCTAACCCACCATCAGGAGAACAGCCCTTTATAGTACGTTACCCTTTTCCTATCAGTAACTTATGCAACTGGAAGGGTCAGAATTCTACTTCAAGGGAATCAGCGGACTTGGTTTCTAGTCTTGGGACTATTTGTAACACTTACCTACCCACTTGGGACTACTGCCAACAACTCCTTCAGGTTTTAGTCATGGCTGAAGAACATAAACACATTCAAAGAGAATCTAGGAAAGTTGTTTTAGGTCCAGATGGACGTCCTAGCACCAGTACCGCCTTACTGGAGGCCCAATTCCCGAGTAACCGACCCCCGTGGGACCATATCTCAGCTGAAGGTAAGGAGGTTCTACCACAGTCCCGCCAGCTTCTGAGTCAGGACCTTGAAACAGCTCTTACCAATTTGACTAAAATTAGTGGAGTCATTCAGGGAGTGTGAGTTGGTGAAAGTAGCCCTGCATGTTTTTCACAATCGGAAATCTGTAAATGCAACTGCCATGAGGTGGATGAGGACCCAAAAATTCCCCCAAGCACAGGTGCCCAGAGGACTCAACCAAGTAGAGACTCTAACTTCCCTTATTAAAAGGGACTGAGACACTGGAAAAAACAAATGTCCTCCAACTTCAGTGAGGACACAAACACAAACGCCGACAAAAATCTGAGTTAAAAATGACTCTGCTTAACAGGGCCAGGACTTCTCTCCTTAAAGTTCCCCAGAAACTCATAATAATTGAATAACCATGCCTATCGGTGGCCAACCTGTGAACTGTCTAGCAAACACAGGTGCAAATTTGAGTGCCTGCTCCCAAGTCATGCCTGACTGGTCTTTACCACTGACTCCTTCGGATTGGCAGGAGCCATCCTGACAGTGCCTCACGGCCCAGGTCTAGGCTGAGGAAAACCCTCACTGGGCTGTAATAGTGCAGCTCTCCAACAGGGCCACCCCAATGAAAGTCCACCAGGAGGCCCACTCACAAAGGCCCTAAAAACCAGTGGGGCCCGGACCACCTGTTGCCATCCTCATCAGAACAGACGGCAAGATCCAGCAGGCCCTTGGGACAGACTTGGGAACAGGCTCATTTGCCCTTCTTCCCAGGAACCTCAAAGAAATAACTTGTTAACCAGCTACACACTGCCAGCTCATCTCCAGATGCCTGCACATTTCCTGCTTCCATGAATGGACTAAAGATACAACTACCGGGTGCCTCCCCAGTAACAAGGTAAATGCTGCCTGAGCACCTCAGCACATGGGATCACATCTCTGGGGAGAAAACTAAGTGGAACACGGGAAACTGGACTTCACTGAAATCAAGCCAGGTCAGTACGGTATAAATACTTATTGGTTTTAATTGATACTTTCTCAGGATGACTAGAAACATTCCCATACAAAAGGAAACAACCTTAACAGTGGCAAAACACCTTCTCACTGACATTATCCAAAGATTCAGCTTGCCCTTCACGCTGGGGTCTGACAATGGCCCGGCCTTCACAACCCAGGTTTCTAAAAAACTTGGTGGCTGCCTCAAACACTACATGAAAATTACACTGTACCTATAGACCTCAAAGTTCAGGACAGGTTAAAAAAAAAGAATGACTGTTGTTCTTTTGGTTTGCACTAGGATGCAAATGAAAAAATATTCCCTGCGCTTTCTGTCTGTCTTTGTGGCGGCTCAGATTGAATTAGGGAATACATTTGTAGCCAAAAAAAAAAAAAAAGAATGAAATTTTAATTAAATTACACATAGAAACTGGCGGCAACTGGGTGGACCTCTTCCCCTTCCCCCCACTGAGGGCCCTGTGTACTCCTTATCATCAGGGGCTAACTCATTTTAAAACAATCCGTGGGACTCCACCCCCAATATTCCCAAAAACTAACTAATGAATTATTGGCCCCCATCCATAACCACAACCTTGTAAGTGCCTTACAGGCCCTGCAGAAACTGTGCAGAGATCTCCGGGAGGCCAGCCAGACAGTCAACTCTGAGGAACAGCTACACAACCTCCAACCAGGAGACTGGGCATGGGTAAAAAGACATAACCCTGAAACTTTAACTCCACGATGGGAAGGGCCTTACCCTGTTATTTTAACTACCCCAACAGCCATCAAAGAAGGCGTGGATCCATTATACCCACACTAAGAAGGCCGCAGAGGACTACATCCCTGCAACATGGCACTTCAAGCCCACTGGGGATCCCCTAAAACTCCAGCTACGCAGACCTCCCTCCGCATCCTTGCCTGCCTACTCTACACCAACCAAGGAACCAGCAGAGAAGGGAAATACAATCAGCACCAACCAGTCCCTTACGACTGGATCCTCTCCCACACCGTAGATGGCACCGAGGTAGCCTGTGTCTCGGCTCCATGGATCCTCTTCATGACCAAAGATAGCAGCATAAAAGAAGCAGACTCTCATCCAGTCTTCCATTTCAACCTCTGCACCCTATTTGGCTACGGCTGTGCCGGAACTACGTGGACCATGTACGGAAGAAAGGGGGATCCAATTTGGAGCTGCATAAGCCAGTACAATGCCCAAGGACTTAGATATATAGACTTACTGATGCCCTTCAGCTAACATAGATGGACATTATTGTGGGAATGCAAAAAACTACTATTGTGACAACTGGGGCTGTGAAACTATAGCATCATGGGGACTAGCCAGGGACCCACAAATAGACTTCCAAAGGGACGGACCAGGTATTTGTACTTCAAATTTCAATTGTAATCCTATCAAGTTGTCTATGAAAAATTGGCAGGAAACAATATGGGAAACAGGTTTAACTTGGGGTGTTAGACTGTATGTTAGTGAGCAGGAACTGGCTTCTTGTTCACTATTCAGAAAATCCCTCACGATCCAAAGCCACCATTAGTTCTTATCCCCACTATGCAAGTTTTGACCAGTAAAGCCCCAGACAATACCTATTCAAAGGCAAAAATGCCGTTTGCAGTTCCCACCACCATGCCTCCCATAGCATCTGTAATATCCCCTTTATTTACTTTTTTAGATGCAGTATTCAATTTTACAAATATTACTATGGCTATGAGCACCATAATTTTGTCTTCAAAATTATCCAGCCCAAATATGAAAGCATTTACCACTCAGCTCAAAGCAAATTTTCAAGCTTTAGAAGCTTCTGTTGCCCATTTAGAAAAATCCCTGAACTCTTGGCCAGAAATAATACTCTTTTGGAAACCAAGAAACCTTAACAAAACTTTAAAGGAAGCAGATTGTGATAACACCAACCAGTTTAAGTTTATAAAGAATGCTTTAACTTTAGTAAATGATACTTGGTATAAAACCATAGCTATAAGAGGACCATTCCTCTTCCTTTTAATCGGAATAACCAGCAGTCTCATTATGTTTAACCACTTCATAGTCCTTGTACCTTTGTCCCCAAACAACTCAGGTAAATTGAAGATTCAATTACCAATAAAACCAGTGGGGACTGTAATAATCAAGCCCCCAGCCCCTAACCTCCAGGACTAGCAAGAAATACAACAAACCCCTTATACTTATAAAAAGAATTTCTCCTAAGCCCTTTAGCCTCAGCCCCCACAAGGGAGAAGTTAAGTTCTTGGAAGAAGCTTGAGAAGATAAGGGAAGGAAGGGAAGGAGGGATGAGCCCCAGGTGAAAAGACTGAAGTTGGCTCGGTGCCTGTGGCTCAAGTGGCTAAGGTGCCAGCCACGTACACCCAAGGTGGCGGGTTTGAATCCAGCCCGGGCCTGCCAAACAACAATGATGGCAGCACCAAAAAGTAGCCAGGCCTTATGGTGGACGCCTGTAGTCCCAGCTACTTGGGAGGCTAAGGCAGGAGACTTGCTTAAGCCCAGGAGTTGGAGGTTGCTGTGAGCTGATGCCATGGCACTCTACCCAGGGGGACAGCTTGAGGCTCCTATCTCAAAAAAAAAAAAAAAAAAAAAAAGGCTGAAGTTGGTTTAAGGCCCAAGTTGTTGTTCTCGGAAACTTACCCAATACTCTTCATTTGATGATTTGTGAATTAATGTACCTTAAGGTAGCATGTACCCCCACCCTGAATTGTGTAACCCCTTGTGATGTACCCCATCTTATGATGATGAAGTAATGTGTATCTTGTGATCTATGAATCAATATGCACCCTCACCTTGGGACCCCGCTCTAATTGCTGTGATTGGCTTCTGTATTGCGCTAGCTTGCTGACCCTGCAAAATAATGGTATAAAAGGGCACTTCACCTACCAGTTGGGTGCTGAATGCCTCCGTGGTGTTCCAGCCTGCCTGCAGGTGTAATAAATTTTATCAATTATTGCATCAAAGTGGGGTCCACTTTTTTATCTCCATGGCTCTGTCCCATTTTATTTCCACACTCTATATTTTCACCTTTTGGGGCACCTATTTTTATTCAATAGGCAAATTCTGAGAAGTTTCACTCCTGTGATGATTCAAAATATAGACATGAACATCCAACTCAACATCATTTGAGCAGATCACAAACTCAGCATGTCTAGAATCAAGGTCATCACTGAAATCCCCAACACCTCATCTGTCTAAATTCCCTACCCTGGTGAATATTGGCAATATCCACTGAGTTGCTCAAGCCAGAGTCCCTTGCATCAGTCACATTTCATTGCTCTCTCCCTCCCTCCAAATTCAGTCTTTCAATATGCCCTATAAATAATCTCACCTTCATATATTTTGGATCAGTTCATATCCACTGCTACTTCCTTACCTCAATTCAGTGAAAGCTCTTAACAACAGGCAAATTTGCCTCCAGTCTTATCTACTTTCAAGTCCATTCATCAAATAACCATGAGAATAATCCTTTCAAAACACAAATGTGATTGTGCCATGTCTCACCTTAAAGTTCTCCAGAGGTTCCCATAATTTTTGAGATAAAGGGAAAGACTGCAGTATGAAATAATTCTTGGATTTCTGACTTGAGCATGAGGATAGTGATATCTTAACTCAAGATACAGAATAAAGGAAGAAGAGCAGATTGGATGAAGGGAATAGAGATGATGGGTTTTAATAGGATAGTTCAGAGCATGCTGAAGTGAGGTGCCTTTAGGAGGACCAGGTAAACCTATTTGGTTCACCCCATTAGCAGATGGGGTGAAGGGAAGGGTAAAAATCATAAATAAGATGGCACAAGGGAATAGTTAATATAAGAAAGAGGTCATGCACAAGTGCCCACAGTTTATTAATCCATTCTTGAGTTGGTGGGCATGTAGGGTGTTTCCACATCTTGGGAATTGTAAAATGAGCTACAATAATCAATCTAGTACAATGTCCTTATGATAAAATGATTTTTTTTCTTCTGGGTAGATGCCCAGTAAGGAGATTGTTGGATCAAATGGAAGGCCTATTTTGAGTTCTTTGAGAATTCTCCATACTTCTTTCCAAAGAGGCTATATTAGTGTTTAGTCCCACCCCTTTTAATTAAAATCCCCTTTATTACCCACCTTGAAGATGTCATCAGTTTCCTAAAGAGACTAAGTGACACACAAATGATCCTAGGAAACAAAAGATGGCCAAACTAATCCAATAAACTAATTCTATTAAAGTGCTATAGAAAATTATCTTTCCCAAATAAATAGAAAACTGAAGAAATAACCCTGAAAGTACCAATTTCAGACATCTAGGACAAAGGAGTAAGTGGTTGTCAGCTAAAATGACTGTAATAGTAAATTAATTTGGGAATTCACAAAAATTAAATTCCAATGTGGTATATTCCAAAGGACTAAAAGACCATACATGAAAGTCACTTGTCAGTATCTATAGTGACATGATCTCATATTGTAAATAAACATTGTAAGAGCTAATAATGTAGAATTCCAAATAAATGGACATAAAATACTGGTATGAGGGGGATAGATATAAAAGAATTGCAATTTTGCCAACTCACTGGCACCTACTCCACTGGACTCAATTGCTGGGCATAAAAATAGAAAAAGATATCAAGGAATATCAAGGAAATTCAGCTGTCTGTTCCTCTGGAACCACAAATAAGTAATATTTGTAGATTTGGTTGTGTTAAAGATGAGATTTTGATATATATGCATATGGCCTCAATGTTATGTTTGAATATATTAAGCCTGGATAGTGGCCTTTCTTTGAGCTCTTTGTATCCTATAATATAGCCACTACTAATTCTTACTCAGTTCTATCACTTCCCTTTCCATGTCTGTATCCTTCTGGTCATCTTGACTGCATCACAGTTTATGACTCACTGCCTAAACTAAGCCTATAAACATACCCCCACTTGATTCTAGGGGGCTGTTGTCATAGCTTCAACCCCTCAAGACCCCTTCTACTGCCAGCTTGTTTACAGAAAGTGGTGAGATTGCAAAGTTAACTTATTTTTCTGTGACTCCGTCAATCAACCTTATAAGAATGCAGAAAAAATAGTTGAGGGCACACAAGAACAAGTTAAACATCAAAATATGTAGAAACAGACTTATGCATAATACAAGCATGAGATGCTTTCGATGTTGATTTTCAGGTCATTAGAACTTAGTGTCAATCAGGCTGTTAGAGCTTGTCATTGACATTAGTAAGACAAAAGGGCAGCAAACCCAGGACTATGGTCTGTTTGCCCTACATCTCTCAGTTTGACAATCTAAATCAAATCAAAGAAAAATCACAAACTTGAAAATACCCCTAAATTTCATCTCTTCTACCCTCCTTCTCAATTGGCAAGTTTCTCGTACATGTCCCTGA